TTCCCCCGAGCACCACCAGGAGTGACCAAGAATAACAGTCACGAGCTGGCAGAGGGTAGGTTTAGGTTAGATATCAGGAGGCGCTACTTCACGGTCAGGGCTGCTAGGGTCTGGAACCAACTTCCAAGAGAAATGGTGCAGGCTCCTACCCTGGGGGTTTTTAAGGGGAGGTTAGATGAACACCTTGCTGGGGTCGTTTGACCCCAGTACTCTCCTGCCATGGCAGGGGGTCAGACTAGATGATCTGCTCAGGTCCCTTCTGACCCTAGAAACTATGAAACTATGAAGTAAAGTTATGGTCAAAGAACTTCAGGTAAAGGCAAATTAGAAATCCTTTGTTAGAGTTCCGTTATGTACAAGCTTTCTTTTTCATACAGACATTTTTCATAATGCTTTTTCAAGCATTAATTATTGCTAGAGGTATTGGGATACAGCATTTTTCCACTTTAGGCAATAGTAAGAAGATTTAAAGTTGGATGTTGTATCCAGAAGTATATAGCAGTCTCATATGCATTCTTTGGTGACACCTATAGAAATATGGAGCCAGAGGGTTGTTAGTTTCTTCCACATCTTTCTTTCTCTAATTCTGGTGCTCAGTTATACCATAGCCGCTTTATACCAGTCTGGCAATGTTAAAGCGGATCGTAAAGTGAATGGAAATTTCATTTACACTCACTCTAAGGCCTCTTTATTAATGAAATATGAAGAGATTTTACTACGCAAATGAGAATCAGGGCCTCATGTTTTTGGGTGGTCTTGGAATTCATTTCTTGAAGCATTTTTTGTTTGTTTTCTGCCACACTACATTTGTTTTTTGAAACACTGTATTTTAGTAAAGCCTGAAATTGTTCTTCAAAGACATCTGCAAGCAGGACATGAAGGTTTTTGGAATCAACCCAAATCTTTGGGAGGCCTTAGTAGGAGACAGGACAAAGTGGCACTCCCTTCTCAATCATGTAGTCCAACTTCATGACGAGAAATGGTCACTTGAATTACAACCAAAATGTGACCGAAGGAAACAGCCTGTCAGTACATGAGCCCCTAGCACTACGTATACCTTTGACCACTGTGGCAGGACCCTCAAGTCTAACAGGAGAAAATGCACCACCAGTCAGTAGAATAGCTGCAATATCAACCATCACTCACTGATGAACGGATGCCATAATAGTTCAACAAAATGCTGTTTCATTAGCTATCATTTGGTGGATCAGAGGGTTGAGAAGGGCTTCTGTTAAGCTGGGAATATGGAGGGAGGATCAAAACTAGTTTAAATTTTGTAAATTTAAAAAATGTCTAACTCAGTACTTTTGCTGATGCTTCCGATTGAATTGAGCACTGTAGGTCAAAAATAAATTAAGGCCATACATTCAACCTCATAGTCAAGTGTGTGGTACATGTAGCTTTTTTTCTAGTTGGACCATTTGAAAGCAGCATTGTGAATGGGAGGGAAAGCAATAGTTTCCATTTTAAATCCCCTTTCAACAGAAGCAGAATTTTGCATTCTGATCCAGTGAGATGAAGTAGTGATTCTAATGTATTTATTTGGTTTGGTTTGGTTTGGTTTTTTTATCCTTTGATATAGACATAGCTTATTTTAAAGATGGAGGGGATTTCTTTTGATAGTCCTTTCAGAATCTGAAAGCTCTACTTAAACTTTAATTGCATTGTATGTTCCTGTCTCGCTCTTTTTATACAAATGACTACTGAAGTTTGGTCAGTGAGGTATGTACAGAAGAACATCAGGCTTGAACAAATCATAGAAACAGCAGTAGTTCTGAACCTGTTTTCTAAGAGTCCTGTTCTGATTACCAGGGGTATTTTTTGTTTTACTTTGAAGTTTGATACCTTTACAAAATATTCAGATTCACAAAATGCAGAGTTCTGAGGGAAAACATTAAAGCAAATATTTGAAAGTGCTTAAAACTGTTCTGGGCGGTTTGTTCAATACCTGATAAACATAATGTACTGGTTCAAAGTTTTAATTTGTGTTCTTAGGTGATTCTGGAGAAGAAGTTTTGTTTGGAACATCTGATGGCAAACTTGGTCTTATTCAGTTTTCTCATTCATCTCCAGTTCATAAATGGGAAATCAGGAATGACAAGAAGAGAGGAGGTGTGTCACAGTAATCTCTTCACATATTTGGCATTTCACTATAACTAAGGCTTATGAAATAATCAGTAAATCTCGTTATGCTTATAGACATTTTGAAGAAATATAAACTTTGCTGGTATATTAGGGTAACATGAGTGAGTTTCAGTTTCTTGCTCTTGAGCTGCTTCTAAAGCAGCTTAGTTATTGTCTTCCTTTTCTTCTCTTGGTTACCTGGTACAGGTTATTTTCAGTTCTTTAATGTATTTCTGTTGTTATTAAATATTGTTCGGTGATTTTCATGAATAAACATGTTATATATATAAAATGTTTATCTGTAATAATAGTGGCTCTACTTATTAATGCTAACATAAATCATATTTCTCAGAAGGAGCAGTGATGTGAATTCTTCTTGAAGCAGAGATTATTGCTGTCTCTGTAATATTGATATTTGTTATTGATTTTTACATTGTCTATAATTTCAATCTGAGAACTGAACAAAGCTCTTTTTGAAACTGTATGCTGCTGTTTTTTAAATGGCCAGAAAATCTGCTTTATAGTATGTTTATTTCCTTTTAGGCTTAGAATTCTTACAGAACTCTCCAGCAGTTGTACCTTTGGAATAAGGAAAGACAAAAAACAGAATCTTGATCTCATCTAGTCACCTCATTGCAACCTAATTTTACACTTTGTCTCTTAAAATGTATCTTTATATAACTTTGTACTGTAGCTTCGTTTTTTCACATCTTACTAGGGACTGTAGCTAGCAACATCTGAGATGCTTCAAAGAGACCTGAATGTCAGGATTTGTGTTGGTTCTTTTTAGTAATTTTATATTAAATGCCTTTTTTATTCTTCTCTTGTCTGCACTATCTTTATGTGCTCATTACATTGCAATTTCTTATAAACAAAGGAAAAAGCATGTCACCTTTTTTAAAAGCCAGAAATGGCATTAGTAAAACCTTAACTAACCTTGGCTAACCAAGAATTATGTCAATGTAAGCTAAGCCATTAAAGCGCCAGGTGTGTGGGTTTCCCCCCCATGGACCGATATTTTTTTTGCTCCCCACTCCTAAGGTCCCAAATCATTAATTGAAATAAAACTGATAAAAAATGAATAGTTACCTGTTTGATCTTCAGAGGATGTCCTATTTTCTGTTGTCTTAGGTATCTTGTGTATAGATAGCTTTGACATTGTAGGAGACGGAGTTAAAGAATTACTTATCGGCCGAGATGATGGTATTTTAGAAGTATATACTTTTGACAGTACAAATGATCCTGTCCTTCGTTATGATCATGTAAGTTCATTTCAGGACATTGTCCTTTTCTTACAATGTAAAATACATCCTTTGCTTTAAATTATCAAAGAAATAATTTATAGTTTATTTTCTTCTTTTTATTTATGACTATAAATTAGTTGTACACAGTTGATGCATATTTGCACCATATACTGCTTTCACATTATCTTTCAGTCTTTGAAAATGAGTAAATATCCATTTGGTCTACATGGGATAATTATGTTCTTATGCGCTTTGTTAAATCTGTGCTTCATTTTAATTTTAGATGTGCTTAAAGTAGCAGTAACAAATAAGGTGAAGGTTTTACAAAATCTAAAGTTACTGCAAAAGGCTTTCGCTTTATATTTTAAAATGTGATGCGTTTCTGTGTGGTTGAAAACAGTAGTAAACTATTATAACAGAACCAGAAAGCATAACTGTCCATTCTCTTTCAAAATTGATTGAACTGCTAAAAGTATATTTTTGAAATTTTTTTCCCTTGTTATAGTTTAAGAAGTTTAGTTGCTAATTCTAGTTAAAAAAAATAACTCAAGTATGGAAAATCCATGAAGTTCCTGGCTAATTAAACTAATGAACCCTTGCATTGAGTGCTACTTGGATATAGCCATATTTGTTCTAATTATTAAAATGGTTGATTTAATTAATAATTACAGCTTCTGCCTTCCAACACATTCTGCTAATTACTGTTTGATGAATTAGATTGTTTGGGAAAAAAACAGTTACCAATACCTTTTCCAAATTACAGTAAGGAGTCAGCAACCTATGGCACACAGGCCACAACTTGGCCACAGCCATTATATCCAACCAATGGAGTTGTGGTGAATGGGGAGCTTCGGTGTCATTTTAGTGGTGGGGCAGGGAAAGAAAGCTTTGCCTGTGTGGTGGCTGGATGGTGGGAGAAGCAATGGTGACAGTGCTGTGGGGGGGAACAGTGGGATGGGTCATTATTTCTGTATCTGTGAATTGCTGTGAATCCAAATAGCCCTCCAGCAGTGCAAATTGAAAACAAGCATGTAAGCTCCTTCTAAAGTACCATATTTATAGAGTGTTTGTGTGATTTATTTGTAGGCATTGTCTGAAAGTATCACATCAGTCCAGGGTGGCTGTGTAGGGAAAGATGGGTATGATGAAATATTAGCATCCACATATTCTGGTAAGACATCTACTAAATGCTTACAGAGTTTTAGAACATTATAGTGTTTTAAGTATGCTGTGTTAATAGAGACAACTTTTTTTTTTAATTATCTATCCTGGTTACAAAAAGGACTTTCTGGTACAAATATATCTTTTAAAATACTTAAGCATTGGAATTTTTTTTCAATACATTTAAAGTTCATTGAAACCATATGATTTTTTGAGTACATTTTTTTGAAGGGTAACAAAGCAGCTGCTTATTGTATGCTTTAGGCAGATGTATACCCCAGTGATGACTGTGCCAAGCATGAAAAGTTTTATACTTGGTGAAATTGATTAAAATTCAGTTACATTGATATTATAAATATTGATGATTGTTATATTCCTTTCTTTTGTTTTCTTGTCACTCTAAATAGAGTCTCTCTCTCAGTAGTGATGAATCTTGCTAGATCTCTGGCACTTATTTTTTTTGTTCTTTTTGCTTCTTAGTGTTCTAGAGCTCACTAAAACAAATTTTTCTAAGTACACAAGATTTCTCTCAATGAAAACATCTCCTTTGATGTCAGCTGGCTCCTGGTAGCACTGCTTGGTTTATGACTGAGAAATGATAGCAAAAGTGGTCTGTGTTCTGGTTACTAGGGTTCCAGACATTAAAAGGCTGCTTTCTAAGTTACTGTAGAGGCTAAAAAATAGCCCTGAAACCTTACTTTTAAACCTAATAGTCAAAAACCTGCCATTTAATGTTGACTCAATGGCAGATCTATGCAGACACACAAAATATAAGTGTGCCTCTTGTGTATTCATTTCAGGCTTTGCATGATTGAAGGACTGTGGGACCTGTCTTCACCTATCAGCAAAACACTGCTGACTTAAGATAAAAATTGAACCCAAAATGCATTTCAGAGTATAAGGGCAGAGTATATGTATCATACATCACCTTTACTGCATTATGGTCACTAAAGCCAGCCTATCCATGGTGGTATAGGTACTTTTATCAGAAGAAAAATGTTAGCTGCTGATAAATGTGTTTGTATCCCTCTTCAGTTGGGGCTCTCAAAGTGCTGTATAACGAAGGTCCTGTTTACACAGTGGGAGATGGCTTGCCATGAAAATACATACCTGTATGTTCAGCAGAAACAGGAGTAAAACCAAGGTCTTTACTGTATCCAGTGACCTGTGTAGTGGACTGTTCTGTAGCGCTATGGCTATGTGGTTCAGTCATGACTTCTAACATAATATCTTTGTATGTTTATTGTTCAGGATGGGTAACAGGACTGACTACAGAGCCTGTCCATAGGGAAGGTGGATCTGGTGAAGAGCTAAAGATAAGTCAAGAAATGCAGAACAAGATTTCATCCTTAAGGTAATATAATTAAAAGGAAAATAGTAAAAGAGATCCAGGATAAACTAATATACATTAACTAGGGGAAATCATCCTCTGGAAATCAGCTTTCAAATTATATTTAGTGCAACATCTGAAATTATCAAAAGTACAAAAAGTATGAAATTATAGATATGTTGGCCATGTCCCCACAAGCAGGAGTGAGCAGTTGCCGCAGGGAAAGAAGTGGCATAAATACACAGCATATTTAAAAGTGGCATAAATGCCACTGCTTTTTGCGCTGGCAAATACACCTGCACGTGGGGCTAGCACAGAGAAAAATGCTTTGGATGAGGTAGGGGAGACTGGAGCCAGCACCTGGGCTAACCCCAGTAGCCTTACCTGACATCGTGGAGGCTTCCAGTTTCCTTACGTGGCATCCAGTTTTAGGCAGCACACACTGCTGCCACGTGCTGCCTCGCTTTTTTCTGGTATGGACTTTTTTGACACCGGGATTTTCTGGTGTAAAAAAACCCTGTCATGCTACAAATTAGCAGCATGGTGAAAGCATGCATGTGTGGAGCATGCAGTTTGTGGTACCACAGATGGGTCCGCAGTGCCACACATGCATCCTCATCTGGATGCACCTGTTGTGTGCAAGTGTGTCAATTTCTCTTATACCTCTGTCAGTCGTCTTTTGTAGTGAGTCTCTCTCTCTTTTCCTTGATTTGCTATTTTAGGGACTGTGGCTTAACCACATATCTCCAAAGTATTGAGAGCAGTGTTGGATTATGTCCTACCTCACTTGAGTTCATCAATCTATGAGTGGGAAGAATTGTAAGCCTCTCCTAAAATTGTTGAAGCATGGAAGTTCAGTTGGATTTTTTTTCAAAAAATTTTTATTTTTTGGCCCCCCTGGGGGCTTATTCAAGATATCAGATCCATTTTAAAACCTTGATTTTTTTTTTAAATGTATTCCTCTTTTCCCTAATGCATTCTTTGCTTCAGATGTGAACAAATGCTTTCATCCCTGATGGAGGTACACTCAGCTAAAGACTTTGATACCTATAAATCTTTCTCCAAAAAGGAACCAGAAGCACAGGCTTTCCTTTAGACCTGTTCTGCAAGAAGCCATTCTGGCTTGAGTCAGTTATCTTATTCTTTCCCGCTCTGATCAATGTGATCATTTCTTTGCCTCTTGCAAAGTTCTACCCTGGAAGGGGTTGTTCTTATGAAAGATACTTCATAAAGGATTATTACAGTGGCATTCTAAGGCAGGGGAGCTAAATTCTTCAAGGGAGCAGGGAAGGTATCTAGTTGTTTCAGCAGCTTCAAGAGTCTGTGTAGTGTAGAAAGGATTCTCAAGGATCTTGCCATTGGACCCAACCAGACCACAGTACAGTTGACTTCTTTGGATCCTATAGGTCCCTTGCGTTTGGGTTGGCTAAATTGAACATCTGCATTGAGTCACGCATGAGATCACCTGACAAAATCCCAATAAAACCCCCTTCACCTCAGTCAGTGGAGAAGAGAGTGGAAGGCTGAATTGTTCACAGTGCTGAGCTCTGAGATTTCACCTGTAGCATCCATTTGATTGGCATTTGAAATTTCTCTAGAGGTATTACTCCACTAATACCCAAAGGGTGCATCTACATGCGCAAATAATGCAAAGCAATTAAATGACTGTATTATTCTCCTGTGGAGTTAATTAGCTTACTCCAACCAAATGGGTGCATACGTAGACATGCAACATTTATGTGGAGCTAATTAGTCAACTCTGCAGTAAACTTCTGGTGTAGACATGCTGAGAGAGTCTTGATTCCAAAGAAGGGTATTTCCACTGTTGGATCTTAAAGTTCATGGGTCCTGCGGCAAATCTAAGCTTAGGGGTGGGTTTTGTTTCCCATTATTTGCCCAACTGGCAGCTTTCTAACCAGGGAAGTGGCATGTTTGACACTTGCACATAGGTAGCAGTTCTGTTTCCCCTGTCAAGTGAATATGCACATGTAGCATGTACCTGCTAAGTTGGCTGCGCAGTGGTGGGGCAGCTGTACAGCTACTTACATGTGCCCATTCAGAACGTATAAGTCCACCCAAGTCACAGTAACATAGTTGGCCAGAAACTCATGACTAACCAATATTAAATGCCAGAGTGGGAGTATCCTCTTACTTTATTTTTAGCCCTAAAAACAGAGTGGCTAGAGGATTGCTTAGGATGCATAGTACTTGGGCACTACGCCCTCCTTGCCAGGCACAGTGCTTTAACTGCCACAGGTCAGGCATTATTCAGTCCTTTCTCCAGCACTCCTTTTGAAGCTGGCCACTGGGCAGCAGAGGGAAATGTGAGGCCCAGAAGAAGAAAACAAGCTACAGCAGGGGTTGGAAACCCCTGGCACGCGAGGCCATTTTGCTTGGCACGCTGCAGCCAGCCCCGGCTCTGGGAAACTGCTGCCAGCAACGGAGCCCAGGCTGCTCCAAGCAGGACTTGCAACATCCCAGCAGCTTGCTGGAAGCAGCCCAGGATCCCAGCTGGTAGCAGCTCCCCAGAGCCAGGGCCAGCTGCAGCCGGAAGGCTCCAAACAACTGCACCAGGCTCCGGCACCAGCTCCATACCGGCACGTGCACCCACACCTCAGTGGGCGGTGGATGTGGGGCCTAAGGCAGCGCAGCCCTGGTCTCTCGCACACTCCCAGCATGGAGGTGATGAGCCTAGAACAGCTGTTTATAGCCAGCCCAGGCTCTGGGCAGTGGCAGCAAGGCTGTGCTGCCTCAGACCCTGCCCCATACCGAGGCGTGCCTGCTCACGCCGGTGCGGAGCTAGTGCCGGAGCCCAGCACAGCTGTTTGGAGCCTCCCAGCTGCAGCTAGCCCTGGCTCTGGGGAGCTGCTGCCAGCCAGGGTCCTGGGCTGCTCCCAGCAGGCAGCTGGGATGCTGCAAGCCCTGCTCGGAGCAGCCCAGGCTCCAGCAGCTACCCAAAGCCAGGGCAAGGGGCAGTAGGGCTGGGGGCAGGGGCTTTGGGTGGGGGGCAAGGGGCAGCAGGGCTGGGGGCCAAGGGCTTTGGGTGGGGGGCAAGGGGCACAAGCAGGGCATCGTGCCATGTACCCCTTGCCCTCATTTTGTTTTTCTGCCATGCCAGCACTCCGGCACCTTCCGAGGTAGGCGTTATGGTGTTTTTTGGCACTCCAGCCAAAAAATGTTTCCTACCCCTGAGCTAGAGGATGGGTGGCTCAATGATGTATCTGCCACAGTGGTAAGGAGCAGGCCCTGGCTTCTAGCATGGATCTTTGCTCCCAGTAAGGAAGAACCTTCTTTACTTCACTATTATCAATCTGTTTTATCCAATTCCCTAGTGAACACAAGGGGCAGTGGCCCAGATTCAAAAGGAGCCCTGGAAAGAGGTGAGGATAATGCTTAGTCTGTTGTGTGGTGATTAGACCATTGTGCTGGGAAGTTAGAAACACACAGGTTCAAACTCCCTTTGTGCAAGGGCGTCCCTAGAATCCAGGTCTCCTACTTTCTGGGCAGGTGCCCTTAATCTGTTTGCGACTAAGGCATGTGAAGATCCTCATCCTTTTTTCCAGACTCACATTCAGATACACTGACCAGTATGTATAAATGTAACTGATTGAACATATTCTATGCATCTTTTCCACACGGCAGAGACAGGACCAAAAATGGTGAGGTATGTGGCTAGAAAACTGCCATTTAGGCACACAAAGGGGAATGGAATTTGTCCGTTATTGGTGTAGTGTTCACTGGTAAGCAATGTGGGTTTCATCGCATTCGCTGAACTTACACTTTTAACATGAATCTGATTGGGGCTCAGGAATGTTTAGTTGTTTTTTAATGTCCTTTTAAACAGTTCAAATGTTGATATGCTCCAGGATACATTACATGAGGGTACTGTGCATGAAATAAGTACTGTGGTACTATCTACTGACCTAAAGTAAGATTGGGGCCCCACCATACTTGGAGTATGGAAACACCTAGAGACAGCGTGTCCTCCTTGATGAGTGTTTTACAACAGAAATAGATAAAAGCAAATCGAGTTAATGTGCCTGTCTCTTTTCCATGGTTATACGGGAAGTTTGTGTTCCAACCAGGAATTAGAAGTTACATGTTCTGATTCATAGTCTAGTGCTCTAACCTCTGGACCATATTGCCTTTCAAACCATCTTGGATTTTCTTTGATCCTCCACCTTCTGCATCATTGTCCTTTCTGAGGAGTAATTAAAGTAGTTTTATTTTCTTCTTTTCATAAATCTCTTCCTAAAAGTAAAGGCCCCCATGAAAAATACCTCAGCGTCTTCCTTCAGATTTCTTGTATCAGTAATTTGATCCACTTTAAAGAGGTGGAAAAACCAGTGAGAAACTCCTTAGAGATGTCCCCTTCTATTTTTATTTTCAGAGGATGTTCTTTTGTTGTCTTCTTTTTTCCAGTAATGCAGGCTTTATTTTACATATTTTGTGATGTACATATAGAAAGAACAGAAGATCATCTATCTGATCAATCAATAAGTGCCGTACTGGGTCAGACCAGTGGTCCATCTGCCTTGATATTCTGTCTCCGACAGCAGCAAAATAGATGCTTTAGAGAGAGAGCATGTGAACAGGGTATATCTAGAGCAGTAGTGCTCAACCCTGTCCAAGAGACCCAGGTCATCTGGCCTATGGGTCCAGAAATTTGGTGGATTGAGACTGGGGGCAGTGTTAATTGCTGCTCCCCCTGCTGCCAAATTTTGGAATCTATAGGCAGCCCTGCAGACTGGCTAACATGGCCCTGTGTGCTAGATCTGCTGGTACAGTTTTGTACCAGCTTGTGGAGTTGCTCTGGAGCCAGCTCAGGGACATGGTCTGATGTGTATGCATCCTGATCCACCCTGGTCTGTAGGACCATTAATCTTCATAAATTCATGATCCTCCATGAATTTATCTAGTCCTCTTTTGATCCTGGCTATACTGTCTGTCTCTGCAATCTCCTGTGGTAATGAGTTTTACATTCTATCATATCCCTCTTCAGCCTTCTCCTTTCCAAAATGAAGAGTCCTAGCCTTTTTAGTCTCTTGGTATGGCAGCTGCTTCATACCCCAATCATTTTGGTTGCCCTTCTCTGTACCTTTCTAATTCTACTACCTCCTTGCAGAGGTATGGAGAAGTTACAGTCTATGTTTTCACTGATATTTCATGTCAGGAATGCATTATATGTTTGGTGGAAAATGTCTTCCTACTTCCTCCAGAAATCACTGTACTTTGGCAAGACAGATTTCTAACATATATTTTCATATTTCATTACTAGATTAGATTATGAAAAAAATATTGCATCATATAACTTACAGAAAGGATACTGATCAATGGCAGTTTGTGCCCATAGGGGACAGGACAAGACATAATGGGCTTAAATTGAAACAGGGAAGATTTTGGTTAGATATTCAAAAGATCTTTGTAACAATGAAATGAGTTAAGCACTATAACTGATCACTTGTGAAATCTGTGTTTTTGAAGCTTTTTTTAACTGCAGAATAGACAAACATTTGTTTTAGAGGGATAATTCTGACCTGTAAAGGGAGTTGAACTAGATGATCTACTGAGATCCCTTCCAGCCCTATTTTTCTATTAAACTGAAGTCTAATGGAGGAGAGCTGGGAACTACCTAAAAAAGATAAAACTTTGTTAATAAGGAGAAAAGATAACAAAGATGAAGGTTGCAGGAAAATAGAACCAGTTTCTAGAGGAATTTTGTATTTAAAGTTGCCTCAAAACATTTATGCTTACATCTGACAGTTTTTGTTTCCCAGGAGTGAGTTGGAACATTTACAGATAAAGGTACTGCAAGAACGTGAAAAATACCAGCAGTCTTCCCGGTCCAGTACTGCTGTTTCAGCAGTACCTGCATTTAGTGTGAATGACAAGTTTACCTTAAATAAGGATGATGCCAGCTACAGCCTTATCTTAGAAGTGCAGACAGCTATTGATAATGTTTTGATACAGGTGAGAGTCTATTTATCAAATGTTTTTACATCTTAATACAACTTTTAAACCTCAGTAAGAACACTAATGTTTTTTGATGCTAGAAGATTTTTATCAGGGTCTACTTTTTATATGCCCCAAGTTCAGTTTTTAAGGACTTTTTATGTTAAAGGCTTTAGTGCTGATAATACAGGTTTATAGATATCTTGTTGTTATAAAGCAAAACTTCAATTTGTACTTATTGGAAAAAATATTGAAAAAAAATATTGGTATATAACTTTCCACATGCTTTAATAGAACAGCTAAAATTCAAGATTTTTTTTTAAGCAAGTGGAAAGCTATTATTTTGAATTCAAGTAAGATTCAGGTATTAAACAGTTGCCAGTAGGCTGGTATGGGACATATGGATTTGTTCCAGAGTTTTTTTTATTTCAAGAGTTGCAAAAGCAAAAAATAGTTAACAAAACAAACAAAACACAACACAACAAAACGTGGTCTTCACATAGAGTTGTAAAGTGATAGCAGTCTGTAGCGCCCATGTAGCTGTGGAATGTTGCAGTACAATAAATCTTCAGTATATGTAATTTTTGAAGAATGATGACACTTGATTTGATTTAGTAGTTAATAAATGATGACACTTGATTTAGTGGTTACAGATAAGCATTTAAAATTAATTATTCCTTTTATCATGTCAGCTGAATTGAATGTTGTCTTTGGTAGCCAGAAGAGAAGTTGATGCTGAGATAACTAGCTTTGGGGCACATCCAGGGAAAAAGTCTTATAAAAAGGTAGCCAGGAAGAACTGAAATTTAGGCGAGCTGTCCAGGTAAAAAAAAAAAAAAACCCACATTCCTATTGGTTCTTGGTGGACACATCTATTTTTTTAACGATCGATTGATATACAGGATCTTTCAGTACTTCCTCAGATAGAGCCTGTATTGGTGAAACCAATGTAATGTCTGTCTTGTTGCAGACTGACGAGATGGACATTACATTGGAGTTTTGTTCTAGTGTAAACCAGTTGAAAGACTAGTTTGGGATGTTCATGGCAGACTTAGAGCTAAAGATATCCAAATTATCCTAGTCTTAAAATGTAACAAATATGCTAAAAATGTATTTGATCTTTTACTTTTCTTGAATTAAGTTTATCAAACAATATTATTGCCCATTCTTCACTAACATAATTATGTACAATTAAGCAAGATAAATATGTTAAACTATGCTTTTTATTTGCCCTTCCCTTAATGTTCTGCACAGAGTGATGTCCCAATAGACCTACTGGATGTGGATAAAAATTCCGCTGTTGTTAGTTTTAGTGGCTGTGATTCTGAGGTAAGTGGAAGAGTAAGTTAAAGAAATCAGTTACTTCTACAGAGACTGCTTGATGAAAGCTACTATCAACTGGGCACATCTACTCTTTAGTCTAACATTAGTCCCAAGTCAGTCCACACACACAGTGTTACTGAGCTGTATGGCGTCTACATGTGTGTTACTGCACAGTAACTAATTGGGTGTAAATTTGATACCTGCATGATGCAGATATCAAATTTATGCTCAAGTTGGTGTAAGTCTAAAGTTAGTCCCAAGTCAGTCCACACACAGCATTAATGCACTTTAACACCTGCACATGTAGACGCTGGCCTATGCCCGCTTACTGTGCAGTAAATGTAAGCCAGTGTAAATGCATGTGTAGATATGCCCACTATGTATTAAAAATACATAGTTTAAAATGCTTGGAGTTAGAATACTTATTTGTTGGCTGAAAGAACTGAAATAAAATTGGGAGGGAGCAAGTTAAGATAATTCACTGTTGCTAGAGGCATAAAAATAGTAAGCATTCCATATACAATAATTTATTTATGAAAACGTATTACCCAAAGAGCAATATAGTTTCACATAAAGTAGGTTTTAAAATATTGTACCGACATGAAAGTCTTTTGTGTTTTAGAGATTACATGTTGGACTCCATACATTATTTTTACAGTTATATTTAATGTAACATCATTCCAGAAACTAAGTTAGCATTGTAAAGATCTTTTAAAGAGGGGTGGGGGGGTTGTCCATAGCTGTCTATTAAAAATTTAAGGTTTGTGAGTAACAAATTTGGCACATCAAAGGTTTGTCTTTAAGCTTACATAAATTAATGCTTGTTTTGAGCTTCTTAATCATTCTGTGTGATCATTACTTTAGCTAATGTCTCTTTTAGCCTACAGCATATTTTGACTTTTTTTTCCTTGCGCAGTTAGCATAATTTTAGCTTATCATTCGATACTTCCATGTGGTCCCAGGACTGGGACCAACAATCATCTATTTGTCAGTTCCAATCTGGGATGGCTTGGGTTCTGGGCTGCAGGCCACTTTCAGTGTGCTGGTTCATGGGAAACCCAGGAGTCTGGACTTCCCTTGCACTAGCAAGTAGTAATGACACCATTGGGATTTGATGCCTTATCCCAAAATAATGGGATGCCAAAATTTGATCCCAAAATAATGTGTTCTGCCATGCTACACATGCATGGCAGGACACATGATTGTTAGAACTGGGGATCAAATCCCATCTTGCCATTAAATGAATGTGTGCCAGTGGCCTTAGTTTCCTTCTCAAATATTCATTCCTTCTCCTAGGAGCATACTAAAGCTGATTCCAGGTTCCCACATGGCCACAGGACTGGGGCAGACAATTGTTGGTCCCAACCCTAGGATTTCATTTGGGCCAGTTCAAGACTTGAGTGCAATTCCAGATCTGGGATTGACAGTCAGCCAGCCCTGGGACTACATCAGATGTTCCAAATGGGGCTGGGACTGACAGTTGTATCAGCTAATTGCCAGTCCCAGCACTGGAGGCAATGCCAGACTTTGGTGTTGTCCCAGGGCTGGGACCAACAACCAGCTGATTGTCAGTCTCAGTCCTAGGACTGCACTGGGGCCAGCTCAAGACCAGTGTGGACTCAAGACCAGGACTACACCAGAGTCTTGAACCAGCTGTGATTTTCCTGCCACACAGTCAGTTTAAGGTGCAAACCAGCCACAAAAATGTTATATGTCTTTTGTGAAATACTTTTGTGGCTGGTTGGTTTCCTGTTTTGCTCCCTATTAACTCCTTGAAGGTGTGGAAGGGTTACTATTTATGGCATGATTAACAGGGTAATAACAATTTAATTGTAACATCTGCCAGGGGGTCTAACAGGCAACTATTTTTTTTCTTTTCTTTTTTTTAATTCTGCAGAATATAGTTTTCAGCCTTAATGCAGAGATTGAGCTTTATTGAGAGAGCTGGTTTTTAATACATAGTGGAGTTTTGGAGCCTTTGAAGTTAATAGGAATTATCGGCATCTCCAGTGGAGTCAAAATTCCATCCATTATGTTTTACCTTTTATGGGATAGTTTTGGTTAGATAGCAAAAACTGTTACTACTGTATTTACTCAAATCTATGGTGAGGTGTTTGTCCCTGCCCCCAGTCAGCACGGGAGGAAAAAACCCTCATCTTATATTCATGTACAAAGCAGGGAAGGGGGCACATGACTGCTGCAGCTCTGACTCCCACCTTGAGCCTGGTTCAGGACCAGGGTGAGACCCCTAGCAGAGTCCTGCCCCCCTCTCCACTTGCCTTTTTCAGTTTCTGCCCCCGCTGTACTCCTTTCTCCCCCTTTACTGTCAGGTGCAGCTCAGCTCTGGCTTGGGCTGGATTCCCTTCCAGGCACATAGTACATGAAAACTCTGTCCCCTGCCCAGCCAGTCAGCAGCATTGCTGCTGCTTTGTGGCATAGCAAGGGCTGTACTTCCACGTGCTGTGATCCATAAGCTAGGAGGGAACAGAGTCCAACCAGCATCTGACAGTAAGAAGGAGGGGGAGAAAGAGGCAGAGACTGTAAGGAGTGAGGGGAAAGGGTAAGAGATTGTGAGGAGAGAAGAGATTGTAAGGAGCTGGAGGGTGGAGGGGTGCAGGTGGCAGGGGGGCAGGAAGGCTGCAGTGGTGGGGCAGAGGGCAAGGGGGCTGCCTGACTGCTACAGACACTGCTTCTTCTGCTGTAGCAGTGGAGGGGACAAATTTAAAACAACCTTCCAATAATTAGATTCCATACCTGGAAAATTGTAGATTTAAGTAAATGCAGTATGTTTGCTTATATTTTGAAAACATTTTTATGAAACATTTTCACAAATCTGATTCTAAATTATTTATTTTGTGAATTGTTCATAGCCAAACAGCAACTTTCTCCTTGCAACTTACCGATGTCAAGCAAATACCACTAGACTGGAGCTTAAGGTAAGCTTTTGTAGGGTTACCATATTTCCAGTTCCAAAAAAGAGGACACTTGTCGTGGGGACACCTCACTCCCAACCCGCAGCCCGCTGCCCCTGTTGCTGCCCCTCACTCCTGATCCACAGACCCCTGGCCCTGCTGGTGCCCCTCACTCCCTGCTCACAGTCTCCCATGACCCCAGGCCAAGCTGGTGCCTCTCACTGCTAGCCCACAACCCCCTTGTTCCCCCCAGCCTTCTTGGAGGGGGCCTCCAGCTGCCCCCGTCTCAATCATGCTGAAATGCTGTGGCAGCTCTGGCTCCTGTGGGTGGCAGCACAGCGAGTCTGGCTCTGGCACAGGCTAGAGGGAGGAGGAGGGGATGTCTCTAGCACCCCATGCCCCAGGCTGGGGCTCCTGCACCATGCCAGGTAGCCTGGCTATGCCTTCGCCCACCTCTTCCTCCCTGGCAGCATCTCCCAGGTACCCCTTCCAGTGCTGAAGCCATCACACCTAGAAATCATTCCCCAGTGCCAGCAGACAACCATCCCCCGTCACACACCCATCCCCTTCACATTTCCCCACACCCAGACATTCCCCAAGCCCTGGCACTCTAACCCCTCCCCCATATGCTTACTTGGATGCAGCTGCCAGGACTGCTTTCACCCACCTACCAGGTACATGCTGGCCATGTGCGTGGGTGTGTGCGTGTGCACAGAAGCACGTGGTGCCCCTGCCTCCAATTGCCTTCCCCCGTTCCCACCAGCAGAGTGAAGCAAAATCCTGGACATTGGTTCAGATTTCAAAAAACTGCCCAAACGGAGATCAGAGGATCCAAAAAGAGGCCATGTCCAGGAAAACCCAGATGTATGGTAACCCTGTTTTAAAAATATGTTTTACCAAGAAAATATCAGTTGGTATATTGTGCTCTGTTTAAGGGAGCTTAAGTGCATGATGAACCCAGTGTGGCTACTGCTTGTTTACTAAGGAACCTTTAATCACTTGCATACCACCTCCTTTATGTGTGTGTACATGTGTCCACTTGGAAAATGGGTAGAGGAGGAGTGGGAAAAGGAGAAAGCTTTATATCTTTCCTGCAGCAGCCTGTCCCTTTGAAAAGAGAGGAAGAGATGAAATAATCTCTGGTGAGTCTAGAATTGGAATTTTACTTAATGTGGAACTTCAGACAAGGATGGGGAAGCGCTAAGGAGCAGAATTGTGAGTAGTGTGACTAAGTGGGCAGGTGAACTGGAGAAATAGACTACTGGTGTTTCAGAAGGGAAGGAAACTTCATCTTAAACGATATGCTTGCACAGTCTTTAGATCAAAGGAATGTCTAATTTTTTTAAATATTAAACTGTATATATACAAATGTGCAAAGCTCTGTAATTGCCATGGGGGAAATATGTGGGTGTCTTGGGGACTCTTTCTCTAGGGTTTTTTTTCCAATCAGTTTCTCAACACAGCAGACTTCTAAGTTGATAAGTTTTTTTTTTCTGCTTGTGTTTTTTCAGCAAGAAGACAGTTTCTTTCATTTCTTTTAAAATTTAAGCATATAGAGCACAGATTTTAACTTTTTTTTAAGGAGGGTTCAACAAATGGCCTTGTGGACAGTGTAATAGGGCCTTAGTAAGAGACCTGATTTCTCTTGCTAGCTCTGTTGTTGTCCTGCTTGATGACTTTGGGCAAGTCATTTAACTTCCTTGTGTTTCAGTGTCCTTATCTTTAATTGGGGGTAATATTTCTGACCACCTTTGTAAAATGCTGTGAGAGATGCTGATTATCACTTCAAGTGCCATCTACTTTCAACAGATATCCCAGCATAAATATTTGACAGTCCTTCTCTTTTCTCAAGATTGTGTTTTTGTTAGTTCTTTGAGATTTTTTTTAAATAAATGCCATGTGTCAGAACTCGTTCTTATTAGAATAGTTTTATGCCATTCCATGGATACAAAAGTACCCTAAAGATGAGCACTAGAGGATCTTCTCTGTAAAGGAGCTTTTCTTTTTGTAATTCTCATTAAAATCTAAGCACCTAACAAGCAATGAATTAAGGGCTTGAGACCTGATGCAAAATCCACTCAAGTTACTGGGAGTCTGTCCTTTCAATATACTTATTTTGCAGATGGAATACTGAGATGAGGAATAAAATAAATCAGGGGCATTTTTACACATGCTCCAGGAGGTGTAGACGGAACGCTTTAATTAGCGAGCTGTGCTAATTAAAAGCGCCTGAACATCACATGTATCAGCATCCCCCTGTGCTGAAAAATGGCGGCAGGGTGCTTTGAACGAAGCTCATAGAATGAGCTCATTCTATAAGCTTCAGTTCAAAGTGCCCCGTTGCCCTTTTGCAGTGCAGGGTCTCTGATGCATGTGACGTGGGAGGCTGCTGGAGTACCGTCATTTCCATGCTCCAGCAGACTCAGTTAATTAAGTCTGCTCTAATGTGCTGAATTTCTAGCATGACAGAACTGGCTCCCTGCACATCTACAGGAGCCCTTGAATTCAGGTTTTCCTGAGTCTCAATCTAGTGCTCTACCCACGCAAAACAGTGTTTATTTGCTTATCTGGCTTCCTCACCCATGTATAGCGCTGTGGATAGGACATTCTTTTTTCTTGGTGAGTCCCTTTGGGGTTGCTGGCAGCTGTTAGGCATTTAGACCATCCTAAGCAACAGATTGTATCATGAGGTTGGATTGGTGCAGAGTGATTTCAGGTGTTGGGATAGTACAAAAGTTTCTTTGCCCACCCACTTGTCCTTTGCCTCCTTTGCCCACCCACTTGTCAGCTGTTAAGTATTTCTTAACTGCAGCTGAGGATGTGATGTTGGTTCTTTTCTAAAATTCATGTGGGAAGGAATAATATTCTTATTATTCTTATTGTGAAGAGGTGCTACAAAAGTGAAAATGTAGAAGGGTCTTCTGTCATTAAAGTACATAGAATATAGTTTGTAAAAGAACAACAGAAAACCCTACATAGTACACTAAAGAACTACAAAACGTTCTACAAACACTTGCATCCTGGGCACAGGTATCAAAGCCAATTAATTTTATTTTCTTCCATAAAAAATCTGTGCCAGTTAAGCAGTTCCTCGATGGACATTATTGAATCTACATTTGGAAAAGTTTTAGAATTGCTCTTTTTAAGATGGGTACTGTGTTAGTGAACCAAAACAGTGTTTTCCGTAGATTTTTTAAGAACTTTAAGTTTTGATAAAATACAGAGGATTTACATTCTGATCAATTACTAAGTAGTCTCCTCCTTATTTTGTTTATTGATGTAGATTCGATCAATTGAAGGCCAGTATGGAATACTACAAGCATATGTAACGCCAAGAATTCAGCCAAAAACTTGCCAAGTTCGCCAATATCAGATTAAACCACTTTCACTTCATCAACGAACTCACTCTATTGATCATGACAGGTATTTGCAAACAAAGAGCAGTCATTTTTTGAGAAACTAATACAATCTAATTGAAGTATTGTATAAGAATTGACTTTGTAAATTGCAACAATCTTTCTAACATCTGATTATAAAATTTGTATAGCAAATCTCTTCTCTCTTAATTTCCTGTTTTTGAATAGTCTTCTGCCACACCTCAATCAACCCAAAAACATCCAGATTTCTGCTTTCTTATGTTCCATTCAGGAATTACAAGTGTATCCAGTTGTACTTAATCTCTTCACCCACAATTTAGTACCTTAAATCACTGCCAGTTCATTGCTTACTTTAAAAGCTAGAGGAACCATGAATTAAATTACATGTTCTGGCTTCAGATGCTAATGGACACTTCTCCCTGTACTATCCATTATGCCTGACTTATAACATATTACTTCTGCAAGAATGGCTTTGATTTTTAAAGAACTAGACTATCTGACCATAAGATTTCTTCACTGTCAATTTATTTCCTCACTTACAAGCCTAATAAATTTTTTGTTTCAAGTTTTTAAAAATAAAAACTACCTGTTTTCCCAGTTGTAACTCATCTGGAGTAAAAAGGTTCAAATAATTACATATGCAGATGCTTCGCATAGAACTTTGTGCTGAACTACTGTAGGCTGACTGTAATGGTTTAGTTTACTGGAAGCTAGAATGAGACCTGACTTTCAGAATAATGCTCATGTTTAAAACAAAAGGTAAAGAAAAATGCCATATGAAAATTAAAACTATCTTCAGTTGGACAGCTTTTCCAACGACAATATTGTTAACTAACATACTAAACTAATGACTTTATTTCTGCTTCCATAATATCATAGACCTATGAACACACTGACACTAAAAGGCCAGTTCAGTTTTGCTGAAATTCACTCCTGGGTTGTGTTTTGCCTGCCTGAAGTCCCTGAAAAAACTCCAGCGGGAGAGTGTATCACCTTTTATTTTCAGAACACCTTTTTGGATACACAGCTTGAAAGTACTTACAGGTAAAATGTAATTAATAGGTCACATTGTGACTTCACTGTGTGTAATTAAATATATATGGAAATGGAAAGCCATATTGTCCCCTAAGTAGTATTTTTTGTCTTAGGGAATTGCTCACAGATTTTTCACTTTGTTATTTTTTTCAGAAGCAGAGGAAAAGAGGTTACTGTCCACCATCCAGTGAAACAAGAAAAGGGTTTAGGCCCTCAAATTTGCAGATGAGGGAATTGCCCAGGGTCAGTTGTAGAGGAACTACATATCATTATGGTGCTTCCTTGAAACCCAGCCTTCATACAGGCAAGGTTCTTTGAGCAAATGTGATATCTTGTATTAGACCAACTGAATAAAAGATAAAAGATACGACATCTGCTCAAAGAACCTTGCCTGCCTATGTCCTTAGACCAACACTGCTACAACCAAAAACCCAGCCTTCATATAGGATTTTTTCTGTCAGAACTTGTCCTGGATGTCACTTCCACCTTCCTCACTTTGGGGTTCAAAGCAGGTAGTGGCACATAATGATACAGACAGCGTTATTTTGCATTTTTCATGCAAGGTTAAGATGCATTGTAGTACAAAGTAGTCTTGGCCCTCCTGCCCAATGTTTGTGGGGCATCGGCAGAGAGAAATGAAGCAAAATTCAGGATCACCAAAGAATCTGAGCCATTCTGAAACGCATCCTGCCCTTTTCAATGTGTTCACTACCGATCTTTCCATTTTGAGTACCATCCTATCTCAGTTCCTTTAGTCATATTCAGGACATTCTTTCTTTAAAGTCAATGAAAATTTTTTTGCACAAGGACTGCCTGATATGGCTCTTCGTCAGTGCCATACTGTAATTCGAAAACCTTTCAAAATGTAGTAGGTTTTCTTTAAAGCAGGGTGTTGAAGATACGGCCTATGAGCCAGATCCGGTCTGTAGAGCCACATCATCTAGCCACAAGTGCTGCCTGTGGGTCCCAGAGCCAGGGCCATCCCTGAGGGGGTGCTAATCAGGGTTACTGCCCTGGGTCCTGCGGAACTGGGCGGAGCAGCCATGGCAATTCTGTGCCACCTCCGGCTTTGTATCCAGTCGCTTGCTCCCCACCCCACCACTGCCAATGGTGGCAGCTTCTTTGGATCTGGGGTGCATGGGATCAGAGCGGGGCCCCACATGGGCTGATTTGCCCCAGGCCCTGCACCCTGCTTGGGTCAGCTGTGCCCACAGCGGCAGGTCCAGGAGAGCCAGAGAAGCTGTGCTGCACATAGCAGTGGCAGCAGCTCCAGAGCTGTGCAGCAGGGCCCTACTGCAGCAGCAGTTCTAGGGCTGCCACTCCACTACTCAAGGATGTGAGCACAAACATTTCAGATCTGGAATGTGCAGGCCAGTGCAGCCTGCAGACTGGCCCCTCATCTGGCCTGTTGGGCCGGCTGCGTTTGACACCTTTCCTCTAACAATATGATAATTTAAAATAATCTGATATGACGAATTATGGTGGCATTGATGTACTTTACATGAAACCTTGTTATAGTATACACAATCCTGAGAGATGCCCAAGTTCCATGTTTAGCTTTTTTCAAAAGTAACTGGCCAATTGTAGCAAAATTATCCTCTAAATCACTCTCAAAATCACTTTTCCACTCTGGTAACAAGTAATATATGCTGTTATCCTTATGATTTTAATGGCCATCTTCTTAAAATTTTTCTTCATGAGAAGATTTGTAAATAAAACCTCCTCTCCTTTTTGCAACTGCCATAGGATGGATCAGCTTTCAGCACTGAGAGTAGTGTTCTCTTCTCAGTGAATTAATTAGCACACTTTACCTGACTACTGTAAATTATCCTACAGTATAGAAGCTGGGAATATTTTGTTATTTTTCTGGTTAGGTAGATTACAACTTGGATATACAATGTATAATAAACAGTGTTTTTATATAAAAGATGCAAAAAGTGTTTTGATTTCCTCACTTTTTTAATCTAAAATGAGACTCATATTGGAACTTGTAGTTATAGTTAAGCCCAAATTGTCAATTAAAGAACAAAGGTACATTAAAAGAAAAAGTTGTCCAAGTCTATATATTACTTTGTGTTCAAGATTATACAGGTAAGGAAAACTGCTTCCTCTGTTGCATGGGAAGTTTAAACTTGGGGATGGCAACAGAGTGTGCTATTGCCAGTGACAAAACTGAGCTCTGAATGGATGGGGTGATAAGAGAGGCAACCATTTTTAGTGGTGTCTTTAATTGGACCAGCTGTATAGTTGGGTCAGTGCTTGGCCTGAAGTTGATTAGACCTGAGGAAGGGCACTTGATGTCCAAACACTTGTTCAACAGTTTTTCCATATACAGTTGGCCCAATAAAAGATATCCCTAAAAATCCTTGCCTCTCATACATTTTCTAGACAATCATGGCACGAACAACACTCCAATCCTAAGGTGATAAGATCATTTTTATGCAGTCTCCTGCCATTTAGTGTGTGGAGCAACTTTAGTTGCTTTGATGATCTCTTTATCAAGTTACACTTTACTAGCTGGGGCAGCTCTTTTCAGAGTAGGGATTGTGATTCAAGGAGCCTGAAATTTCTAAATGGAGCCTCATGGAACTAAATGCTCTGAGTCCTGTTCCAGTCTTGGTGAAGTTGCTGTATTTCAGTCTTTCCCTTCCAAGGGGTAATTATGTGCTCACAGTTTCCCCAGACCAGCTGAGTTGTGTTAAGTCTCCTGCTCTAAATTACAGACACTTGAACGGTTACCACTGTATGAGAGTACATAAAAATGCGTAAGTGTGTAAATGGCTCATAACTGGAAGAAGGTTTGGGAATGCTGAGGTAGAGGATAAAACCTGTTTAGCACTATAAATTGGAGAAAGGTCAGGTTTACTGCTCTCTGAATCTATTTTTTGCAGAAAAGGGGAAGGTTTTTTCAAATCAGACAACATATCCACCATATCCATTCTAAAAGATGTACTCTCCAAAGAAGCTACCAAAAGGAAAATTAATCTCAGTATATCATATGGTAAGACTTTTTTTTCTCTTCTACTTCATTTAGTTATTTTGGAGTTTTAAGCATTTCATCTTATTTTTCTTACATGTTCTTTTCTTTTTTTTGCTTCTATCAGATATAAATGAAATTTCTGTGAACCACACACTAAAGTTAATCCACCCAAAACTAGAATACCAACTGCTATTGGCGAAGAAAGTCCAGTTGATAGATGCTTTAAAAGTAAGTTTCTGAGAACTCCTATTCAGGAAGCTTTTTTACAGATATGGGAGCAGGGAGTTTTAGGTTAGCAGCTGCCAAGCTCTATCTGATCTGTCAGACAGATTGAAAGATGGGGTCTGCTATATTTACATATCTAGGACTGCTTTTCACTTGTATTAGTCATCCAAGGCATTTACTAATAAAAGTGTACCCACCTCCCAATATCATAGTTTAACTAATGAGTACCTGTTTTGATGATTGATCCATTATTGGTGACAGTTTGTTTAAATGTGGCCTGGTTGTCTCTTTCCTTTCTTCCACCACTCTGTTTTAACACTAGTATTCCAGCTTCCTGCTTTTTTTTAATCATTTATCCCAGAGCAAACAGACCTTAATAAACATAAAGGTGATCGTTTGCAACACAGGGGGCACTTTTACATGCGCTCATGAAGCAACAGAGATGCCACTTCAATTAGAGCAGCTCCAAGAGCCACTCTAATTAAAGCACCACTGCATATGGTGTATCAGCATCCCCATATTTAAAAATGGCAGCAGGGATGCTTGAACTAAAGCTCATTCAATGAGCTTCAGATAAAGCATCCTTGCTGCCATTTTTAAGCATGGGGATGCTGATGCACAAGACACAGAAGGCTGCTGGAGCGTGGCAGTTGCCATGCTCTAGCAGACTCCATTAACTGAGTCAGCTCAGACAGGCTGGAATTCCAGTGCATCAGAGCAGCCTCTATGCTCATGTATAGGTGCCCAAGATGAACTAATGCTCTTTTGTTTGGGATTCTGCCCCAGCTATCTAAGGTAAACATCTTGGTAATTTTTAGAGATGAGAGAATCTAAATTGGGTTAATGACTGAAGACATTTTCAAGCCATCATCTGAATTTTGTAAACTCCATTCCATTCTAATCTAAAAGCAGGGATTGTATCTTGAGCTTCAAAGTAATAGAAACTAGTTTTTTTCACGTAGAGTGTTAGATTGAATAGGGATCCATTATGCTGCAATATCTAAAGGAAACAGTGCTATACTCTAGTATTGTCATGTCAGATACATGTTTATCCTGCCTTTTTGACAGATACAGATTCCATAAAATCTAAGTTCTAATTTTAAAATTAAAAAAGTTCTTAATTCAGAATATGACAAACATTTCATTTAAAAATATGAATATAAGCCAGATAGCCTTAAAAAGTAGCAAGATGTGTTAACTGTCCCACATCTACCTCAGTGTAGTGTTAATTCAGATCCTTTGAGAAGATTTTGAGAACACAAGGAATAAGGGGAATTCCTAGGCCTCAACAACTTCAGGTATTTAAGGGAAGAGATACAGGGAAAAGAGTCTGCATAAATGCTGTTCCCCTTAGTATCTCCTCTATGTCAGTCTGATGGAAAATACTAGGCTAGATGGGATTGATATTCTTGGGTTCTTGTTTTATGAGCCAGATTATCAAAGTTAAATTTTTACTTTCTGTTTATAGTTGTCACAAGTGTGCGCCTAGGTCAGGAAAATGCATGAGCAAATAATGAAATCAACAATGGGCAGTATGAGATTCCTAACACTCCCTGCATCAGTTTCTCTGCTTTTAGTTATTGAACACAAGACTATAAACTTATGGGCCGTCTTTGTATAAGGTATTCTCTGCATTACAAAATCTGCTCTGAATCCAGGGTACCCTTAGTTAGAACACTAACCAACGCCTGCAGATCACAATTAAAGCTGTAATTCAGCTCTCCTCCAGTGGAAAGAATGTGAAATCCAGAGACTGAAAGTCAAACATAGAGGACACGCACAAGATGGCCATATACCCACACAAAAATAGGAGCAAGTGATGCACAGTAATCCTGCAGTGGGGTGTGGAAGCCCTCAAAACAAATGTTGAAAGGGGAGAACTAGGAGCATGTAAGTGGAAGAAGGGGTGCTTGGGTACTATCTGGTGGAAGGTAGGACAAAGTGAAGAAAGGAGAGGGGGTATCTTGGTATTTAAATTCCCTCTACCATCCCAGAGCAGCTGGCAGTACCTGTTAAAAACAGTCATCAGTAAAAGTTAAAATTACCACTCTTTCAGCTTCTTGGTGGCTGTGATGGGGAAGTAAGTATCTGTTAAGTATTCTGCCTCGGGCTTCCTTTTCTCCCTGACAAAATTCTGCTTTTATGTGCTACTGTTCATAAATTTCTCAAACAGCAGCAGACCACAAGGGACAGGATTGCTGCTTGTTTCACTGCAGTATGGAGGGCTGTGATTTTGATCAGCGTTTCATAGCTCCAAGAGTCTTGTTCATTTCACTCTGTTTCTAAAAGCAAATTTAGAAAAGGCAAAGCATGGAGCTACTTCTGCAGATTTTGGAAAGACACCATTGCATTGGTTTTACATTTCAAACGTATCTTTCACATGCATGCTAGAGGCTATATTTTAATGGAAAATTTTAAGTTCTATAAAAAATGATGGTTTGTCTCCTTCGGGCTAGTCAGCAAGTGGATTTTGAATCATATTTGAGAACTGTCACTGCTATGAGCTCAGTCTGGCATCTGAATCTGGGTTTTCTTTGATTGCTTTCTCAGCAATAAGGGTTTTTTATCAGAACATTGCTAACAATTTGGTTGATTTATCAGTCAGAAAGGAACCTGGCTTCCTTTCCTATCACTGTGTTTTGGTTCTAAAGAATGAACAGAAGTTGTGAAGCAAAAATTTGTGGCAGAAGCTATGGCTTTGATAATATATGTAGATTTTTTTTTTTAACAATAACGTTCCTTTAACATCCAACTGAGATAAAAGGGAATAGTTAACCTCTCTCAGTGCTATAGTTTCTACCTGGAGGTGCAACCAGTACTGCACCAAGTCATATCCAGGGTGTTTCTTCAATCATAAATCAGGATTGTTTCTTATTTAAAGAAATTTTAAAATTAGAGGAAAAAGATGAAATCGCTGGAGCAGGGTTGGTGTGGAAAAAGGCCAGTGAGGACTAGTTCAGAATGTTCTCAGATACTGAGAAGAGTGTAAGCAACTCCCCTTTTCTTGTTTTTAAATCATGCACACACATAGCTTAGTCAGCTTTTAAACAGGAGTTTCAGGTACTACATTTGTCTATGCACCCCCTCC